GTTTGGTGTAGCGTCTGGTGTCGTCATTCCGCAAGTAGGGGTGATTTATTAGAATAGGAAAATAGTCACTCATACGTGTTTCTACATCCGTTTTCCATACCACACCATTCACTAGATCTTAGGAACACAAGGCTACATCGATGCAACCGGCGAAAAGTTGGGTAGCCGTCTTTTAAAATTGTCAAATAGCGTTTGTCTGCGGCACACTCAACAATGCCTCACGTGCATCACATCGATCACTACCCCAGATTATGTTGTGCGCAATAAAGTCTCCGCATATGAAAGTATATGAATTAGAAATGTTGAAGATATTTGTTAGCTCTTCCACCAAAATTCGGCTTGAAGGTTGTAGGTAAAACTTAATCACTGTTACGCACTGCTCACCAAAGAATACTTTGCAAGTGACGAATTCTGGGAAGTCCGAATCACTTGAGTGAACTTGGTGAGAAGGTAGGTCCTTTCTGACGCACAAATGCACTCTGCTAGGACCACTTCGACGAGATGACTTATATATCACGTAGTTGGAGAGGCGGAAATCATCATTCATTCCTGCGTCTTGGATGCAAAGTATTGAAAAATTATACTGCAAAAGGAGTTTGCGGAAGTCAGCACACTTCCTTCGAAGACCATTGGCATTCGACTGGTATGTAGAGACATCTTTGTAGCGCTTATTCATATGTTACTTGTGGCATGTTTGACCCGGATTGTTGACACAATAGTGCTTCCATAGGCAGCAGGGCTTTTACTTCTGGCAGGTTGTTTGCTTCCGGTAGAGCAGACAGGGTTGCCTTAAGTGCTGCGAAAAGCATTGGTAGAATCAATTGCATGACTGATGCAGAGGCACGGTCTCCAATGAATGGTTGCTTTTCTGAGGCCTGTTGAGAATGACGTGACGTTTCGATGTTGTAGTTGGGGCGAACACTGGCACTGTCGGTTTTGCTACTTTCCGGCAGAGGTCGCGTGGGCGTTCGCAGCTTTGACGCGTAGGTTGGGTCACTTGAAGGTACTTCTCGTGAGTGGTCTCTCGGGTGTGCTCTTGGCGGTTCTCTTGGCATGCTTGTCGGCTGTTGTTGCGGTGGCCGCTGAGGTGGATCACGTACAGGGTGAACAATCTCAAGGTTTGGAGGTGGTTCATTGGGGCGCGGTTTTCTTCCATGGATGAGCTCATGCCGACGCATTTTCGCAGCAGCTTTACTTTGCGGGCAGCATGAACATGAGGCAGCGTGATTACCTGCACAGTTTGCACACTTAGCCAGAAGAACTGACTTGAACTCCTTATGATGGTGTTCTTCTGAGCAGATCTTACACCGGCGTGTGTTACGGCAACTTTTCGCCATGTGTCCGAATCGCTGTCAGTTATAGCACCGAAGTGCGGGACCAAGATATTGTTCTACTGGTTGACTGGTGAATCCTAAGTAGATTCTTCCTGGAATCAGGGCGGTCATCTCGAAAAGTCAGAATCACTGAGTGAAGTGTACGCGACGTTACTCCTTCATCTTCCTGGTGGTAGTAATTTATTTGCTGTCGCGCCGATATAGCCCCTGCATCTCTCAAGTACTCTAGGAGTTGTTCATCTGAATACTGCCGAGGAACATGTTTTACTTTCCCAACGTTCCGAGTGTATGTCTCTGGAATGAAAGGCTCAACTTCCAGGCCACCTACATTTGAAAGCATCAGAAGAGGCTTGACTAACCTAAGGAAGCAACGCTGACACTGAAGCTTCCATCTCTGGTCGTTCTGAATGACTGCACTCTTTCTTAGCAGCGGAAACTATTTCAGCTGACACTCGATTGGGGTTCACTTTCCAGAAGCTAGCACCTTCAGCTGTTGGACGAAAGACGACTGGGATACCCTCTGCTCGTTTCTTGTTATAAGTAACCGACGTAAATGGTTCATCTTCGCCCATGTCTTCATCACTTAGGTAATAGGTTGACGTTTTATCGTCGAGAGGATTCTCTTCTAAGCCAAGCTTCTTGCTCTCAGCTTCATCGTCTTCCATTGCTACTGTGCTCGCTGGCGCCATTTCGCGGTTCTGCATGAGCAAACGGGCTGGCTTTATGATGTTTGGGCGCACCTGTAAGCCACCAGGCTTTTCATTGTGTCCTGCAGTATCACTAATGTGGTTTAACGCACTTGGACGAGCGTAAGGCTCGTGGCGATGGCTACCAACCACCGTAGTGGTCGCGTGATAGCCAAGTCTGTGATAAAGAACCTCGTACCTGTAAGACGCCGAGCCCTTGAAGTCTTCACCCGACGTCTTGTTTGCACACTGCGAAGAAATGGATGTCAGCCTAATAGTCCAAGAAAAGAGCAGAAATTGAACTGTGCACAGAAACAGCGACTGAACTGATCCACTTCTTCTTTCCTCCGTGACCATCCTCATCTGTTTATTGGTTGTGCTACTGCCACAAATGAGCACTCAAAAAGAGCACACGTTGCGAGAACCAACGTTACTAGAATAGTAGCGTTGGTTCAAGAGCAACATAAGCCGGCGCACGCTCGCCTTCTCTCCCGCTTGAAGGCACCACCGCCACGCCGACCAACGTCCTCGGGACCTAAGACACAGCGAACTCCAGAAACATCTCGAAGGAAATGAGCATGGTGCTGCGCAGTCGCATCACGTTACGAGAATCCCATCATTTTGTTACGAAAGGTCCCACCCTTTCCCTACCGCAAGAACGCCTGGTAATATCCAGAATACCGCGGCAAGTGTATATAAGCAAGTAGCGGAGTCTGGAGATAAGGACACTGTTCCGCAAATGATGACGGCTTCTTCTGTTGACCAAGAAGGCGATGCAGTTAGTGTTTGTATGTTACCAGTGGGGAAGACGTGTTTGCAGTAGAAGTGCGTCAGTGGCCTTTGTGTTTCTGGCGACGAATTTTTGTTATTGAAGTGCGGACAGTTGACGTCGTGAAAGTTTCCTGGAAGAGAAATCTCGAACGCAGTGGGCCGACAACCAGCCCTGGACTGAGTGTTTTCTTGAAGAGTAGCATTCAAGTTTTTTAAAGAATTCGAACTGAATACGTTTAACAAACATTTCTGTCTATAGGTTTATTGGTTAATACATGAGATTGCACTGAAGCGCGCGTTGTTTGTACCCATCGTTTTGAGTGTAGTCGACAACAGTCTACAATAACAATCCTGAGATTCTTGTCGTAATGTATGCGATAACTGCTGAGCGTGCGCATTTATGCGCTGTTAGCTTTGCCTTATCTGAGAATATCTTTTTGTTCTGTTTTCAACTCTCGGCTCTGCCTCGTTCTTTACACCACAGCCGGCGTTCGCTGCCGCAGAGAAACAACCGACCCTAAAATGTTCGTGCTTTCGTGGTGCGTTTGGGCGGGCCGATACGTGTAGAGCTTGGAATCAGACCACCGATTGCCTCCCTATTAACGCGACTAGCTGTAGCTAATGATGATGTAAAAGTATATCTGAGCGCTTTTCAATAGCTGGGGCTCCAAAACACCAACTTCTTACTCAATTTTCATGTATTGAAGCCTGACGGGATTATACGATTCCACTAGATGACATTCATATAGCCTTTTTTTCCTAGGCAGTCTCAACAAATATTGCGGTTCCATAGTAAAACACATGCTTGCCACAGCAGGCCGCCTATGTGCGATCCTTATTGGACCCGGTTTTTTTATTAGTTATTTTTTATCATAAACAAGAAGATAATTTTTCACTCACAACCAGCGGTGCCAACGAAAACACTAAAATTTGAGCGAAACAAGTTGTATAGAGGGCACGTCGCCAGCCTATCTGTGTACAGAAAACGAGCACATTACTATCTGTGGACATTTATTACCTTTTTTTTTGCGCTCGTTGTTATGCAGACAGTGATTCTCATGATCTATATAAGGTACAACCTCTAATTCGTTAATATTCATATACGCGAAATAGCAGACCTAGTTTGCCACCTGCATTGCTTTGTCATGCAGCCGCCCATTCATTCTGCATTCTCTCACTTGACAATCATGCGCTATCAACTGATATTACTTCATTTTGTGTGTTTACAACTGTGCCAGCGGTGATAGCAGCGTGTAGCCGAGAAGTGTGAAATCCAAATAGGCTGAAGCGCTGATTTTTCAGGTGTTTTGACAAATAGGTGGTGAGGAGGGTACATTTCTTTCGTGAAGGGTAGCGAAGGCAAGGTGGAAGTCGCTCGCTCGTCTTTGAAAACGCGATGTTGAAGGGCTCTTCATTGCTCGTTTCGCTGAAATTGGAGGGCAGTACAGTGTTTGTTGAACACTCGAAAAACTATCTATTTGAAGGCATGCTGTTTTAACATCTTAACTTATCTTATAAAGCGAATCTTACTACTATGATGAAAATAGAAATGATAAAGCCTACGCAGCGTTACATTTCCTTTGTGCGGGTGCGCGGACGTCGCTGCTTATGAAAAGCAGAAAAAAAGGGGACCTAAGGCTTCGCCTTGAGGAGTTGAACGTAGTAATGGCATGCTGTTTCTAGTGCGCATTTTAAACACTTAGTGCATGAAACCTTTTCTATTGTGCTAGCACACACTATACGTGGCCTTAAGAGAATAGACGCATTAGCGTGCACCTTTTTTAGTGGCCTACTGACTTTTAACTTCAGAGCCATTATGATAATCAACATTCTGACATCCGTTGGCCTTGGACGCTTGTACCACGCAATATTACTAGCAATATTTCTTGTTGCATTGTGAAGCATGTATACAATGAGCGTGTGTTTTTGAACCACGAAAGCAAGTCTCACTGCATTTCTAAGCATACGAAGTCTTTGCACTCTTTTTCAGAAGCATAGGCGTGGCCATGTGGTAGAACATTCTATTGCGATGTAAAACGTTGGGGTTCAATTCCCGCTTACTCCAAAAAGCACTGGTTCGGTTCCGATTTATTTATTTATTTGCAACGTTGTCAATTTTCGCAGTCATGAATAAGATGACGATTTTTCGCTCACAACCTCTGACACCGCCGATGACATCGAAATGTTCACGAAACGAGTTTTTTAACGCCATCGCGTTAGAACATCTTACTCACTATACACATGGAAACGATTCTTCTGTGAGCGTGGGCGTTATACAGGATATCAATATATTTATGTCATCAGGTGCGTACTTCGTATATTTGTGCAGTTCTAGCAAATCAGCACGTCAAGAATTGATGGAAAACTACGACCAAGAACCGTGACGACTACACAATACACTCAGTACCTTACTCTGTTTAAACCATGCAATTGACGGAAAACATTAGTGTCGCACCATGTTCAAGAAGTCTGCCTATGTTGGCGTTGAACTGCTTCCGCAAGGGACTTGAGATGCTGATCCCAAGTAGAGAGGCACACTTATTTCTAATGATAACTCATAATCTTTCATAGTACTCATCCACTTATAGCTGATGACAACTCATTTTATTGCACACACAGACAAATGTTTAATTCGCACATGCACTCGGACGCGCACAACTGTAAGGTCCTGGGGTTTGCGTCAACCCGTGTGGCTCTTCTGAGCTGCTTCTGTTTCTCGCCTCTTTTCTTTCCTGTGCTGGATCATCGAGGAAGAATAGGACACTGTCCGTTTCAGGCAGCCGTTTCCCACTCTTAAGGCGATGGTGGTTTCACGGGTGCAACAGTCTTGTGCTTTTATTGCTGAGTCGTCATCGCACTGAGGCTCTGTCGCCGATGCGACTGGAGTGGCAGGTGCCTTGTTAAGCGAGCCCGCGAGCAGTAATGTCGAGTGGTCTACCGCACGAGAAGCGGCGCTACTGTTGAACTGACGTGATCCCCTTGAAGGTCGCTGATGCCGCAAATGAAAGACACCGTAAATGAGAGGGTTAATCATGGCCGTGGAACTGCCGAAAAAAAAGATTCCGGTTTGCAGTTCTTCAGTTAGCTGCTCATCGGGCTCCAGGAAAATAAAGATGATCATCATGCAGTAGTACGGCGTCCAGCATATGATGAACGCGGCTACGATGACCACAGTTATCATCAGGGACTTCATCTTGGCCCTATGCAGAAGCCGTCGCCGTGCTTCCTCCATCGATGACGGGGCCCTCACCTCCGACTTGTCCAGGGCCCGCCTCCGCCCGCCCTTCTTGCCGGAACGGCATTGAGTCGTATCTTTGCCAGTGATGAAGGCGCTTCGCTGGACTGTGAGAAAAAGAACAAAGAGATATATTATGTGTATTTGCAGATGCTAATATTGTTAATGAAGCAGCTACAAAAGTCACATTTATTTCACCTTCCACTACTGTGCAGCTAACAGAACAGTGAGGCTGAAATAAATAATTCAATTGCGCAATTTCACACTTCCATATTCAGCCCGAGGAATTAATCGTCTCACATTATCATGACATAGAACAATGCAGAGATTACTGTGAGGGTGAAGCAATGAATGCAATAGCAAAGAGATCGAATGCTTATGAACAAAAGCTAGCAGCTAACTATCTAGTAAACGCGGCAGCTGTAACGAGCGAAAGGCCCTTCCTAATGTCTATAGCTTGATCGGATAACCTTCGACTTGAGCGAAATCCGTATCAAGATACCAACCATCTGCTGTCATTTACACACTTGTCAGTAGATAAAGTCAAATTACTCATTTTTCAGGTGGTTATCGGTCTTCTTGCGCCTTTCGCGCGACGAGGAAAGTGCGTGGCCTTGCTATGAGCAGCGATCAACGGCAGTCCTCACGCGCTTTAACTCCCTCTACCAAAAAGCAGTGTTATCAATTCCGACGTCATACAGTACAGTGCGGCGCCGTCTGTGCGAATGCTAAAGTCCAGTTCGTATGACCACATAATTGGTTTCACAGCAATACATGACGGTCCAGCAGTGGTGAGACACGTATTCGTGTTACGCATGGCGCTATCTGTCTGATGCATTGTACCGCCGAACCCTACAAATGCTTTTTTTGTGAAAAAACTACCATAAGATTTATGGGAAAATTGAGCCGATGTAGTAAACATGCGGAAGTGCGTGAGAGCGACAATCAATAGTCGTTTCTGAAATGCAAAGGCCAAATAAACAAATATTACCACGCTCAAGGCGACGTAGATCAACGCGAGAAACAACCGCAGTCTAATGATAACCTGCCGTCAAATAAACCATAGCAGTTCTATATTCCGGCAAAAGTGCAATAAAGTAAACACGGAAGTAATAAAATCAAACGAAAGGTCCTGACAGCACATTTCTGAAGCCGCTACATGAATGCTGTGATTGGCCCCCTTGTAAAGGGGCAATTAACTGTGTGGCACTGTGTGATGTGGAATGTGGTGCCTGGTCGTCACGGTGCGAGGAGCAGCTGGTGACGATGATCAACGTGTAGCAACAAGCGAGGAGCAGAAGATGATGAGCGCAAGGAGAGCGGGCAGAGATCGGCATCAGCAGTTCGTCGAGTTCCTCGGTGCACCAACGGCCTGCTGCTGAAGCACCCTGGTGTGACTGTTCAGCGGCACTCACATTGCGTCCTTGACTCCTTGGTGAGCCAGCGGCCTGCTGCCCTAGTGGCCTGTTGTGGGTGTTCCCAAGCGACAATAGGCGATGCCACAATAGGCGATGCCGCAGCTGGAAGTGGCTGGCTTACTGACAGCCAGGCACAGTAACAACTTGGGATCAAGCGGCCGTTACGACTCCCGGCCCACCTGTCCCAACCAGGGTGCACGTTGTGATGAGCCATCACAACCTTCGTCAGGCCACATTGTGACACCGCTGCGACGATGACCAGCACCGCGAGCGCGACGAAAACCTGAGAAGGTGAGTGTAGGATTGTGTATCAAGACGCGAGAGTAGATGAACGGTTAATTCTCGAAGGGTATTGAGGCTGTAAATATTTCCCGTTGTTTCTAGTGTTGTCTATAAAGTCGTCTGTAATTCTTGTTTGAAGACCCCGATTTCCGAGTCATTTAATGAATGGATCCTAGGCCCACATCTAATTGCGTTTTCATCATAAACTGGCTACCCTGTCAAGTTTCGCCAGTAAAATTTATAACGCGGAAACCAACATTCGGAGGTATTCTTGCAACAATATACGACGGACATGGATCTCGATAAGTTAGCGGTCATTGCTACGTAGTTAGAAATGTCTGGCGCAGACCTTCGTGAGTGGGTCGAAAGAGGGCAGGTTAGACTGAACAACGAACACGCGACTGAGCAAGATGCAGCCAAAGAAGTAGCTGAGAGGCAGTGGTGAGAGGCAGTTCGAGATCCTGAGGCTTAGGCTTCAGCTTCAGGAGGGTGCCTTACGTTGGCCATCCGCGGCGGCAGCACTCACACCATCAGCAGCCTCTTCAGGCCTGAACCCGTAGAAGCTACTGTCCCTGTTCGCCGAGTGTGATGGAAACGCGATCAAGTGTGCGTCCAAGATCCGTTCATAAAATTTACTCGGCAATCAGGACTTTCAAACAAGAAAACAGGGAACTTGGACAACACTAGAAAAACCCGAAATATTTAAAGCCTAAATGCTGTTCGGCAATTAACCATCTATCTACTCTCGCGACGTGCCATTACTAACTTCACCTCCTGACGCTTTAGTCGTGGTTACCGTGCTGGTCACTGTCGTGGCGGTGTCACTTCGTGGCCCGACGAAGGTTGAGATGGCTCATCATCGCGTGCATCCCGGCTGTGAATGCTCGGCAGGGAGTCGTAACGGCCAGTTAATCCCAGGTTGTTACTTTGCCTGGCTGGCAGTAAGTCAGCCGCTTCCAGCTGCGGCATCGCCTGTGGTCGCTCCGGCACACCCGCTCTAGGTCACTAGGGCAGCAGGCTGCTGGCGCACCAAGGAGCAAAGGACGGAACGTTGGCACCGCTGAACAGTCAGACCAGGCCGCTCGAACAGCAGGCTGCTGGTTCACCCAGGAACGAAGCACGAGATCTCGGAGCCGATGGACAGTTGCACCAGACTGCTCGAACAGCTGGCTGCTGGTGCACCAGGAACCAAGCGCGAGATCTCGCCACCACCGGAATAGTCACACCAGGTCGCTCGAATAGCAGGCTGCTGGTGCACTGAGGAACTCAACGAACTGCTGTCGCCGATGTGCGTGCGATCGCCTTAGCTCTTCTTATTATTTCCCATCCGTGTTCTTTTTTCTGCCTCAATCATCATCAACTGCCTTTCGCTTGTGACCACACGATAATAATCACCAGCTGCCTCGTCGTACTCTCACGGCCACGCACCATTATTCACATCATCACATCTGCCACCACTTAGGACAGTTGCCCACAACTATTCTATAAAACAAAGGGAGGTGGGGCGCATTGTTCAAGGAAAGTCCTCGTAGAACTTAAACTTTACAAATGTATGATAAAAAGAACAAGTCAATAGTATAAGTACGAAGTGACCCAACACAAAATGCGACATTACCTATACGGCTTAAGCAGTCAGCCCTACATTGTTCGAACTTTATGTGTATTTTGCCGTAAAAGGGTGCCCTTGCGTCAACAAACTCCACCGTAGGACAGGGCTGTTCAGGTGCAATGGCTGATGGTCGCATTGTATGACAAAACTCTTACCGCATTGATAATTGTGGGACTTCTGCATGGTCCAGACCAGCGCTGAACAATCCCGTTAAATGATATAATAGCCTGTTTCTCTAGAAGGAGGTTTCGCGAAAGGCTTCGCGATGTCCGGGGCTCTATGTATGGAACATGCGGCAAGTTTTTGCATGAGGACGGTGGAAGTTTTTTCTTGAAGTGGTCCCCTTAGAACTATATTCCTTTGTCTCACCTTGTGAGGTCAGTGAGGGGTTTGGCAATCTCAGTGTAGTTAGGAATGCACTGCCTGTAGTACACCATTAAGGCGAGGAAAGACTGCAGTTTCTTGTATTGCCCTAACTGCGCTTCAAAGTTTGTCAAGTGTCTTCATCAATGGTTCAACTTTCGTACCTTCAATGTGGTGTCCGAGGAAGGTAATAGCACTTTCTCCTATCAGGCACTTGTTCAGAATATTTGTAAAGTTTGCATCATGTGTCTTCTGAAAAACGTGTCGCAGAGCCTCAGCATGGTGTAGCGCAGTGGCTATCACTACGTAGTCGAAGTAGTAATGAACGTTCGATACATCTGCTAACACTGCAGTTATTAAGCGTGCAAAGACAACTGGGACGGTCTGAATTCTGAACAGCATATAATTGAAGTTGTAGAGTCCTGATGTGCTTGAAAATGCTGTATTTTTACAGATTCCGGAAGCCATGGGTACTTGCCGGTAATCATTTATTAAGTCAAACTTCAAAAACAAAAAAAAACTTCTGCTTCCGTGCTAGTGCAAAGATAATGGCAATCCCGGGTATCAGATCACTTTCAAAGAGCAACTTTTGTTCAGTTCGCTGAAATGGGTGAACAACCGAATCGTGTGGTGAGGTTCATTGACTACGATGATCAGTGCGTGATATGAAGACTGACTTCGCAATCATGCCTAGTCACAGCACCTCTTGTCCCTCGGCTTCCACATTTTGTCTCAAGCCAGGAAAATAGAATACCGGCTTTTCGTATACCAACAAAAGTGAACATTCAACGAGCTCGTTTTTGCCTGGCAGATGCGAAAATATCTTTGCGTATGCGTGGCACAATTGCGGAGCATATTCATGCTGTTAGTAAGTTGAGTTGGTTGGTATTTTCACGTCTGCAGCGTTCTGCGTTTTGCATAGACTGAGAGTGGAGATACCCTCTTCCGAATCATTCACAGCAACGTCCATGTCTGATGGTGAATCGCTGACAGAGGTGGCTATTGCCACTTCATCAAAATGATTTCCCGCACTTCGTACTTTTTCAGCATGTTGATGTAAATTACCTTTGTCTTTCCACGAAAGAAATTTACGTCGTCAAGTTGATTCCTAACTTCAGAGAAGGTAAATGAATCTTCCCATTTCATGTTCAGTTTGTTAAAGTCTGTGGGTGTAGGCTGTTGGCACATCATGCTCGGTGTCCTCATTTGTCCAAACCTCTTGCAGACGCTTAGAGGTCCACACACGGGCCTGCCGTAAATTAGTTCAAATGGCCAAAAACCCAAAACTGGCCTCCCAGGATCTAATAGTAAATAATTCCCTACGCGGAGACCAATATTCAGATGTATTCAAGCTGCAATTGACGACCGACGTAGATGTCAATAAACCAGCAGTCATTCCTACTGCAGTTGGAATTGTCTGGCGTAGAGCTGCGCG